GGTTTCTGCTTTTGGTCCCAAGTGTAAGTCTGTGTCAGAAAGCTTGGGTTTCTACTGTTGGACCCAAGTTCAAGTTTGTGACAAAGCTTTGGGTTTCTACTTTTGGTCCCAAGTGTAAGTTTGTGTCAGAAAGCTTAGGTTTCTGCTTTTGGTCCCAAGTGTAAGTCTGTGTCAGAAAGCTTTGGGTTTCTTTTGTTGGTCCCAAGTGTAAGTCCGTGTCAGAAAGATTGGGTGGTTCAATAATTATTGCCATCAAACTGAAAGCTAAAGACAGAAATGCAGGTTAAAGGTATGTAGATGTACCACCATGCAAAATGTCAGAATCTGATACTGAATGGTATTATTCATGATAGAGAATTAACCTTTTCATTGCTTTACAGCAATGCAGTAGTGACAACAAATTGGCCTCCTCATAGGCCAAATTGAGGTGGCTTGTTGCTAGCAAGTACCATGCAGTGCCACATATGAAACTGTTGAGAAAACTTTCAGTATCATATGCTGGCCATAAAACTTCAGTCCTGCAAAACCTTGAAGCCCAGCAGCAGTGGGGATGATATATCTGGCATAGTAGAAGTTAAGGGGTTGATATGATACAGATATTTATGACTCTCTATCCTGATGTTTCGTGGCAGACACATAAGCCAGTGCTATATTGAAGCCACAGAAAGAAGTTCCATTGATAGATTTCAAGGCTTCCCCATTCCTTCCTACTATTGTGTTCCCCTCCAGCCCTCCTGGTCAGTGTAAACAAATGTGAAATGTTGGGTAGTACACTGGAAAGGGAAGCAAAACAGCTTGAAGGAACTATAGAGGGATCAATTCACAGGTCTGCCTTCCATATATTTGTGTAAATTTTGTTTTCTTTTAATTTGAAGTTCCAGTAAAGTGAAATGGATTACTGAGCTATGAAGTCTTAGCTGAGTTCAGATTGTCAGCAGTGACATTGAGATTTTTGTCTTTATTCATTCATCAGTAATCTGCCAGACGACACATCCACAGTCTCTTCCAAAACAGTTCCTCCACTTAATGCGATCTTCTGTTTTTGGAAAGAGACTATCCAGGAAAAGTGATAATGTGGTAGTTTTTCCATTTGCTTTCCACATCGCAGTACTCTGGTCACGCCTGAAGCTATATGAACTTGAACCATCTGAAGCATCATTTGCTCTGTGCTTCAAGTCGCTGCTGATGACGCTGCTTCCGGTGTCAGTTTTTGGTGTCTCTCTTTGTCTGATGCCTACCCTTTACCTGTCCAGCAAGGGAGGCCCTGCCAGTAGCTACGCTACCGCTGGTATAGCTCTCAGGGTCCTTGACATACTCAAACCCCCTCACCACGATAAGGTGGAGACACCAACGAATGTCTGTGTACCATAGGACACATCCATTGGGTGGTCATGACCTAGTACTGGGGTTAAGAATGTGCTGCTTTGTGGGGAATGTCACTGAAGCTGCTGACATTGGGTTGTGTTATAGAAACGACTTGTTCAGCAGCTAAGAAAGGAGCTGGAAGCAAATTCAACCAACAGTACACTCAATGCGAAGAGCATGGCCCTGTCCCTGGGAATCAGTAGCAGCTCGAAGAGCCGGGAGAGGCTTCCCTGCACGTGAGTAAAGAATTTCATTCTCATGATGTGTCTGACACACTTGCCAGAGATGACTGGTGTCATGCAGTAACTCTCTTGCTGCAGGCCTGTACGCCCTTCTTCAGTGTCATCCACCTCCTCCTCAACAACGTCTGAAGACTCGGAGGACTCGCAGAGGGAGCGTGATGAAGTAGTGGCCAAGTGCTGCAGTGGTATGGAGGGAGACCCCAGCCTGGCCATGAAGTTGCAGTTCATGAGTGCAGTTGGTGAGTGTCCACTATTACATTCATTGCACAAGCCAGAAATAATAACATTGAAGACAAAGTCATTGCATGCCAGATCAGCAAAGGTCACAACCTGACCTCTCAGAATTGAATGATTTTCTTTGGGATTGTAGTCCCATTGGAGATCAGTATTCCTGCCAAATTTTACTGCATTGTGGTTGCAGGATTTTGGAGAGCAGACACCCAAAGTTGTCAAATTCGTTTTTTGGATACAAGTTGTTTGAGGGAAAGTGGCATGACTTCTGCTGTAATTGAGATAAGCTGATTTTATGCTCCCATCAAAGCTACTGAATTCCCAACATGTTTTCATGTATTTGTGACTAGACATGGGGTTTGGATTGATAATTGGATTAACTGGACTCTTATGACTTGTAACTACAAATCGTTGTAACACTATCACTAATCTCCATACTTTACAAATCACTACTGCAAACATTAAAGCTGTGGTGTCTTCACTAGGCATTGCTAGGTAGCAGCTCCCAATGGTAGGTATACTTCGTCTGTGCTCACGTCCTCGCTGGATGGCAGCTAACATTCAACTGCAACTAACTCATGACATCCTACTGGTGATAAACCTTTGGTGTCTTCACCAGGCATTGCTAGGTAGCAGCTCCCAACAATAGGTCTGTGCTCACGTCCTTGCTGGATGGCAGCTAACATTCAACTGCAACTAACTCATGACATCCTACTGGTGACTCAGGTTCTGCCTGAGGGCCTTGTTCAGTATTTTGTTGCCTTCCAGAAGTAGCTGCTCTTATTTCTTGCCCTGATATGCACAGGCAGATTCTTCGCTAATCAGATGCTCGGGTAGTCTGATGAAGGCCATTTTGTGGCCATCTCTTTGATGGAATCACATATAGGCTAAGGAACAAAAATGCCGATCTAGTCATAATTACTAATTGCATGACAAGTCAGTTACAACCAATTGATGTGTCAGTTAACAAACCATTCAAGCATCTAATCCTGGCTGAATTAAGACAACTCTATATTGACACCTAGTGGCAAAGTATAAAGACCATTGGCATCAATAATAGTGGAGTGGATATCAAAAGCTTTAGGAAGAAGTACCAGGTAATATTATTCTAAAATCATTTTTAAAGTACTCTTTGATGCTGAATGTGGAATGCAAGATGACATTCTTTGGGATGATAGTGAACAAAGTGGTGAGGGTGCTTCACATTCAGAAAATGAAAGCTTGACTGAAGTATCATTGGATGAACTATCTGATTAAATAAAAGAGAGAATTGAATATGCATATGTAACATGTTGCGGAACGGAGACCCCCTCCCTACCCAGCAGCAACGTGGCGACTCAAGCCACAGGGGCGTGGCGGTAACGANCCTCCGCGGTGACGTCACGCGGTGACACGGAACGGCTTCCTACTGTGACGTGGCGCGTACCAGGCACCACGGCGGATATATAAGGAATTGCACCGCAGCTAGGAGTTCAGTGCTAGTGTGGCTACCGCAGAGTTCAGAGTTGTACGGTAACCGTTATACCGTGGATATCGCCGAGTCGAGTTGTACTGAGTCAGTTGTATTCTGGCATTTGGAGTGTAATATTTGTGATACTGCAGATAGCAGTAATCGTCAGATTGTAATATTGAGTGATTGTGAGAGCGGATGTGAAATAAAGTTCGCTATATAAAATACGGCGAGAAGTTATTTGTCGCGTCATACCCCCGATACGCGACATGCATATAGTGAAAATTTTAAATTTCCATTTCATTCTCACATATTTTCCGTTACTTTTTGCTTTAAATTTGTTCTAAATATTTTGTTATTTTAACTGATGTGTTGTAAATAAACTCATTGAAATAAATACATCTTTATAATTTTTTCCTAAACCCCTCATTTAAAAATTGGATGCGTCTTATGTTCAAAGTAATATGGTATTATACAATCTGCCAGAGAGGCTTGGAGTGCTTATTGCTTGTATGTTGTAGGTTTGGTGACCCGAGAGGTTCTGTCTGAATTACAGAACCGCCGAGTGGAGAGGAAGAGGCGTAGCACTGCAAACCACACACAGTTTGTGTATGGGAGTTTCTGGGAAATATCAGTAAGTTTCATTACCTGCAGTTTGTGTCATATGCTCCTAGAAGTGAGCCAAAGGCTGACATGATTTAAACAAAGGGGAAAATATGTCTGAAAAACGATTTCAGCCATTTTTAGGAGAACTCTGTCACATACTGGGGAAACCACAAGGAAGAGACTGGTTAGAAGACACAGAATTAAATAGACCAATAATACAGATTGTTTTAGAAAGAATGTCAATTTTATTTGTTAATATTATCACATGTTTCAGTGGGTATAGATGGGTTTTGGATTAATAACTATATATATTGGACACTTTTATAGCCCATGACTACATTTTACAGATCACTATTACAGACTAATGTCCTCAAGTCATGTTGCTTGGTAGCAGCTACCAACAATGCAGCATCCTTGACTTCCATGTCCAACGGCTCCTGTCCCCACTGGCCGACACCTTTCATCTGCAACTCCCTAGCTGAACTAACTGGCTTCCAAGTGCTGACCTCCAACTTAAGCTGTGAGTTCTCAACTGAGTCACTTGTCCCAGTGGCCCTTAGGACAGACCTAACAGAAAACACCACTTCCCACGATTCCTCTATTGTTTCATGATGTCACTGTTGGCATGGACCCACAGAGAATACCATTCCAAGCAGTGCTTCCATTGGTTACATCGCATGGCATGACATATTCCATTATTGCATCACTGATTATTATGTCACAGCCTAGTAGTGGATGCCTCTTCTTATTAACTTATTCCATCTTACAGCAGACATGCAACACTATTTCTGTACAGCAATGAGTGTGTCGAAGTTGGACTCAGTATCAGCACCATTCACAACTCTGCTTATATTGAAGTGATGTTTTACTTCACTGAAGATCTCGGTACTCACAAAAAGTACAGAAAGCAGATGTACCCCATGCAAGGTCACAACAGTGCTTACTGCAAACTGTGCTCTTAACACAAACCCAGAAGGGGTAGTCCATTGTGATAAATGAGGACTTCACATAGAATCATCCCCCCCACCTTCCAGTCCACTGGTCAGTAAATGGGACATTTAGAGCTCAGAGGACAGTGTCACAAAACTGTAATGGTGTGCAATTCTACTGAAACATAAGGTTCACTATCATATCCAGGTAAATTCCAAAGGTTATTTTATCCTACACAGAAATTGGGCTGATCATGAATTAACCCTGTGTGTTCACTTAGGGCTGCTTGAACATGCTCACTTGCTTGTATGGGTTTTCACACCCTGAAATTCTGCAGTTCTGATGTTTCTGATCCACAGTACTGCTTGTGGGAAAGGTGGCGTTGCCTTTCAAAGGAATGCTGTTGAGGCATCTCGCATTTACATAATTATATTACTCAGTACATACTGATTTCAGAAGCGAAAGAAGAACAGCTACCTCACATCGGGGGTACCACCCCCGACACGCCAGCTGACCCGCAGTTTGAGGGCTGAGCCCCATCGTGAGGAGAAACCTCCACTGCCTTCAGTACAGGAGAGTACAGCTGGTCCCCAGCAGAGGACAGCATTGCCACAGACGACTGCAGCAGGATCACTGTCACTTCGAATTCCAGGGTTGCCAGCCTCACTCACAATAGAGAGGATACAGAGAGCTGTGTGTGTGATGTGCAGGAAGCCAGGTGAGTGGGTTGGATTCAGCTGGCTACTATGAATGGTGAAGGGTGGGTAGTTTCTGGAGCCGCTGAGCACCTCTCAGTTGTTGCATCATGTTTATTGGTGTCCCTGTACATATCATTTGACCTCACTGTACAAAATATCTAGGTCAAGCCTTGACCTCGAATGACAGTACTGTTCAGATTGGTACTGACACATGTAATACAGTGTGTCTGATGTGTTTACCACATACAGTAAAATTCCATTTTAATGTTCTCATTATTGTATTTAGTGAATATTTTTCCTGATTAATTTTGATTTATCAAATAACCTGCATTTAGTGTAAGACATTTCTGATCTTCCAGAACTCAGGTATCAATTTATTGCAATTTTGGTTGAGAGAACAATCAGTATTCACATTGTCCCTCTGCCAGAAACTGTTACACACAACCTTAATATTTGGCAAGTGATGTCACATTCTGAACATGCACTAAAGTGACATTGCTTGTGGTATTATACTTTCTTTGAATCTTGACCAAGGTTCTTCAATGTTTATTTCTTATGTTATTAATTTTTTTAGAAATGAATTCGATATTGCCGATGTAACTATATTTATTTGTGTTGAAATAGTTTCTTGAACTCTTTACATAAATAAAGATAAAGCTGTCCATGTAACAGGCTGAGGGCCCGTAGGGGTCGAGGCTCCCACATCTAGACAGTTTGCTATGAGATTGTCAGCCTTATGCACCAGCCACCGTTTACACATTTCTGTTAGAGGATGAGTTGACCCCAGGGCCATAGTTTGGCTGGAAGAATTAAGTCAATCGAAATTCCAGTGACCTTTTTGGGAATTGAACCCACAACCATCTGTTGTAGAATAGTGCATCAGCCAACTACACTACTATATGCCCCATGGTAAACATAGATGGCATATTAACCATAATATCAGCAATTGTGCTAATGCTAGTATCCATAGTAATGAGAGAAACCAAATTACCCACAGTAAGAGATTTTAGAGCTACATGAAATCTACATACATTCAAATGCCAGGGTGTAGAGAATGCATTTGGCAGCTATGCTGTATGGCACAGATTGCAGCTTTCCAGTCTTGTATATCAGTGCTGTATCAGCTGCCATGTTTTATTTGTTGTGAAGTAATAGAATTATTATTATTATTATAGGGAGTTGAAGAAGTTGTGGTTGTAATCTATTTCGAGACATTATCAGTGCCTTCGAAGAGACCTGAACTGGATACCTTGCAAATACAGGACAAAAGTGTTAACTGGTTGGTCACAGAATGTTAACAGACACACATGTTTTGGATGAAAGCCTTCTGCATATGTAAATTTACTGACTTCACAATGACACAGCTGTCAGATGTCTTGGCTCCCTGTGTAACTATTAATTTGCTGTTTGTTTATGCCAGGTAACTTGAATGTATGCAGTGGCTGCAGTGCACAGTACCACATGGGCTGTGCAGCGGATGGTGACCAATGTCCACAGTGCAGTGTTAAGCAGATCAGCTCCATCAGCAGCCTGAAGGGTAAGGACTGCTATCTATAATGTACCTGATTGTTAGTTTCCGTCATGGGAAGGTTGGAGCAGAAGTGTTGAAGTTGCACTGCTGTTTTCCACATTTGGTTTCATGTAGAAAATAGAATGTGTTCAGCTATTGTTAAGATTGGCCTTAAAGTCAGATCCTGAATTCTGGTTTTTGAGTGTATGCCTGGTCAGATCAGTATGTAGATTTTTATGTTCGTAGATAAAACTTTGAGCGGGTAAAAAATCCCAGGACCTTTGCTGAGAGCAGTGTTAATAATCTGTAGGTCCCATCTACTGTCATTTGCAACCACACTTCCCCCTTCACTCACCTTACACTCACTTCACCTGACTCACAAAGTTGGGTTAACTGGACGCAGGTTCTCTCAATGAGTCACCTAACAATGACTTTATGGTACTGTTGTACAGTTTCTTTGGAAGAACTGAGGAGAACCTCAGAATGACTCCATTACAAGGATAGATTGTTGTATGGATGTCAGTTGTGGGCTGATGTAGAGATATTGTATTTCAGCATCCTGTTGCGCTGGTTAACGAGTGAATTTCCAGGGGGCAGTCTTCAAGGTACAAGTTCTTGTCCCCATAGACTGTTGGTGTGCTATGTTGTCACTTTTATAAATGGTACTTCTGTGGCATGTTTATACCTTTAAAGGTCATCATTTGGTAGGTACTTTTATATAATTACTGCATGGTACTGAGCTGCTACATATGAGTGACACCCATATAGCCATAACCAAATGTTTGAAATGCTACACTAGTTTCACACCAGATAGCAGCACATAATTGAAACACAACACTGGTATCACTTATAGTTCGTTATCCAGAGAGAGGAGAAAATGAACAACCACTGATCAGCAAATATTATAAAGAGGTAACCCCTCTAGTGAAGCACAATAGACCACTGTAGGTCGCAGTACAAGGGCTGAGGAGGCCTACCCCTCATACATTCATTCATAACCCCTCTCGGTCATTTAATCCAATCAGGGAACTGTGCCCTAGCCTTCAGCTACACATACAATAGCCTCTTCTATGAGGCCAGGGTATCCTTCAATGAGGGAAGACAAATAGAGGAAGCAGAGGATCACAACGAGGAGTTCAAAACAATTTTCCAAGAAAAAATGAGAANCTACAACCGCCAAAATGGATGGAATATCAAAGGCATAGCAACAACCCCTTGTTATGATAACTCGTAACGTTGAACTTACTGCAGCTGACCTCACCNCAGAAATAAATATATTAGCTGGAAATTCAGGATAGCTAAGATGGTGTCAGCTTTCACAGTGGAAGCACTAACAATTGGCAGAACACTAGAAATCATGGAAAACGTATACTCAGAGCAAAATTTCATTATTTTCTTGGACTCAGAAAGCATGCTAAAGGAATTAGTAACTCATCTACAATGAGGAACAAATTGAATATTACTCAGATCCTTAAAGACAAAATAGAAAGACTGGAATCGTGTTGAAAATAAATCTAATTTTATTGGATCCCGGGGCACTGTAGAGTTGAACTTAATGAGAGAGCTGAATTTGGGGCAAAGCAATCAATTAAAGAAGGCAGATATAGTCAACTGTTATTACCAGTGGCAGACGTTAAAGCCCAGTGGAAAAAGCCAATTTCTGTCAAAACACCAAAAGGGACAGAGGAGAAAGGTACTAGAGGAATTGCTTGTCTCTATGGTTGCGCAGGATAAAAATGGACCATTGTGCCTTCGTATCAGTAAGCCGTATGAGAGGAGGCCATTCCAATCTTAAAGCAAGCTTAAGTAGATTTAACTTTGTGCCCACGGCCGAATGCGAATGTGGTGATGGGCTGCAACCGGAGGAACATATCTTCTGGGACTCTAAACTGTACGAGGACCAAGGGGCAACAATGATGAGCATTTTATCTGAGAACAGCAAAAACGAATACCCAAAGTCAGTTACAGAGCTCTTAAGGCTAGAGGAAAAATGGTTTGTGCAAGGCGTCTGTTACATCATAAACAAAATTCCTAAATTTATTAACAAAAAAATAAAAAGAAGTATATGCACAAAATATTAACAGTATGTGTTTAGTAATAGTAATAGAGTTAATTTAAGAGAGATGTTAAAAAATTGTAGGGTGACTGCTGTGATAGAATAAAATGTTTATAAGAATGTGCTGTAGAGGGCAGGATGGGCATTGCCTAGGCCTTTTTTGTACATACATGGATTTTTTTTCTTCAGATAAAACCAGTGTCAAGCATGCAGCACTCTCAGTAACTGTCCACCTTCATAAATACCGCACATAAGTACAAATACAGAAAATAACACATATACATTAACTAATAAACATGACTAATCTTATGATGGTATATATTCACAATATAATGCGTCATACTGAATGTAGATATTGCACACAACACAGCTGCTCCATACCACAAGACTCCGCACACAATCCGAGCACCTGTGGCGTGCTGGAAACACAGAGTATTAGTGGAAAAGGAATAAGTTTTAACTAATTCCAACAAAACTGAACAATAATAAGAGCTAATTTTAACCAATTTTTATAACAGTTAACTAGATAAAGCAGTACAGTGCAGCAGTTACATAAAAGTATTATCACATGTATCAGTGACTATAGACAGGATTTGGATTGGTAATTGGATTTATTAACCACTTAACAGATTGTAACTACAAGTAACTAGAGCGTTATTGCTAATTGACATACTTCACAATCCACTACAGCATGCACCAAGCCTTCTCAGTTTGCTGTATCTTCACTAGTTGCTGCCTGGAAACATCTTCCAGTTCTGTAGCTTCCTCAGCGTCCATGTCCATGTCACACAACTAACTGAACTCTGGACTTGTCCTGCTTATAACACCTCAGCAAGAACTGCATAGAAAACACCAGTTCCAGCAGTCCTGCCATTGAATCATGCAGCTGTTGCACGGACCACGTAGAGAACACTGCTCTCCAGTTAATTCATTGGTGCATGTTGGGAATCTGTTGCCTAGCACTGGGCATTGTTTACAGAGTCATTGCTTAGTAATGGGTCTAAATGCTACAGTTGCTACCTGATGATGACCTTATAAGGTTCAGATGTGCTACAGCAGTAACATCTACAAAACTGACAGTGTAGAGCATCAACTGTCTATGAACACAACAAGAACTTACACTTTGAAGACTGTCCCTACAAAATGAATCATAATATACAAATAGTTCAATTGTTTCTGTTCTTGGGACATGACATGTAGTCATTATGCAGGGTGCAACTGAAAGGTGCAACAAACTTCAAGCATGAGTTCCACATACCAAAACAAGAGAAAATGTCCATATCAGCATGTGCCTGGAACACATTTAATTTGTGATTTACAGCTGAAGGAATACTGTACATGCATGATGGTGCTGTGGCACGCCATAGCCATGCTGTGATAAATGTTCTCAGTTGCTTCTGTCATGTGTGATGGACAGGTACGGGATGACCCACTGCATGGCCCCCATGCCTGCCAGATTTTAATCTGGAGACACCTAAAAATCCTTGTGTGTGCAGTTTCTGTTGACAATGAAGAGGTATTTCACCATTGCAGTGTTGATGCCTGTCAGACTCTCCACAACTGCCCCAGCATATATGAATGGGTGCGGCATTCCATGATGAGGTGTGTTGAGATGTCCATTGAGGAGCACTTGCTGTAAATGTACTCTTTCATCTTTAACCCACAAATTAAATGATTCTGGGCACATGTTATGAACATTTTTTTTTTTTGTTCTGTTATGTGGAACTTGTGCCCGAAGTTTGTCCGTACCTTTCAGATACACTCTGTATAGTCATGTCAGTGTTATACCCCAGAAGATAGATCTCTTCATAACCACCAATGTGAGAGCTTCAAATCTGACATTTTCTGTTCTTATTTGTATACACCAGGATGCGGCAGTTATAGTTCTCATTGCTATTACAGAGCGAGAGGCAGAGAAGCAGAAGCTGGCAAGTCATAACAGTGAGCTCAACTTTGAGAAGGATGCACTGGAGAAGAGGGCTGCTGAGCTCACTGCTGCTCTTGCGGTAAATGTTACACCTACAGAGCTTGTTGGCAGTTAGTAGCATTGTTTTTTATGCATCTGAAAGTCTCATGCTGTAATTTTAAAACGGAAACCTCCAAGAGGATCTCTGTCGACCATGTTGTGGGAAGGAGGCATAGTTTTACTGGCAACAGTTGGTATAGTGTTGAGACTGTTAACAGGAAGAATAATGGTCTGTTCCATGATAATTATAATTAATTATAATTGTAGTAATACGTGCACAGGTCCTCACTGAAGATCCTATTTAAAATGGTTTCCAAGTGGCCTTCAAAAGTAATGACATTAATATCCCACCTAATAGGAGCAATTTTGAAGACATATCGACATTGTACCAATTTAATAGGTTCTTCTCAGATTATATTATGTATATATAGAAATGAATGACAGAGTAGACTCATAAATCAGATGTGTCAGAGCACTTACCAGTGGTCCATAGTGACCTTTTCCATCCATCAAGCTCGTAGTGTGGTCTTTATATATGAAGTTACATATAGTGAGCACGCATGTTTAATTTTATGAAGTTGGTGAAGGTAAACTGGATTGTATATTGTAACAAAATTCCGGAATCATACAGAAATGAACTCGTTGCTTCAAACTGTCCTGCTCGTAACATTTCAGCCTGGACCACATAGAAAACACCCTGATTTCCATTGTTGTAGTCCAAGTGTTGCAGCTGCCTAGCAACAGGAACATGTTTACTGAGACCATCTCACAGTCATTGCATAGCAGTGGCTGTGCACACTACAGTATTGTTGATATTTTAGTGACTAGACACAGGGTTTGGATTGAATATTGAAGTTACTGAATGCTTATTAACATGTAACTACTTATCTACACACACTGCAAATATGCTTGATGTCTTCCCAGTCTGCTGTATCTTCACTAGTTATTGCACTGGAGGTCACGACCCTCTGGCTGCCCCTGTCTTTTACAGGGACAACACAGCCCCCATGTGGTTCCAGTTAAACCCGTGATTGAGCACTAGCTGAGGCTGCAGCCCACTGAGACTGGGACTCCCCCACCAGCCTGTCTTGATGGTCAGATTACTCACTCCCACCAATACCCATCTTTAGTCTCATTGCCAGTGGACTCTCACCAGAGCCCCTGGGAGACTCTGGCTACCTCTTCACACCAACACAAGAGCAGAACACAGAGGGAGACAGATCCAGCTTGCAGGAGTGGCAGCAGGGACACTCCAGCCACCTGTGACACTTTCTGCAGTGATAGGAGATCTTACACCACTAGTACCAGTTGGATCCATGACCAAGAGCAGTTCCCCACTCCTAGGCTTTCCAGTCATTCTTCCTCATGGTCAGATTACTCATTCCCATCACCAGATCTCTTTCGAACTTCCCTTAAGTGGGCAGCTTACTCGATCTCTGAAAGATTTGGCTATTACCATGGCAGCAGAAGACACAGTAACCCAAACTTTCTGATGCAGAAAGACCTCACTGCAGCAACAGGAAACCACACAGCAGGGACCTGCAGTGTAAGGGAGAAATTTTCTTTCGCCAGAATACTGACAATGGGGAAACCCCTGGTCCACCTATGTTGTTTGCCAGCAGGCTGGACTCACATCCAAGCTCCAGAGCGAGCCTTCCTCCTCTTGGCTGCTGCTTCTGGTAGCCAGTCCAGTTCTTGGTGGTCAGGTTGCTTGCCTCCAATGAGAGAAGGCCTGACTGTCACTGGACCCTCATTGCAGCCCCTGGGATTTTGACTGCTGCAGGGAAATCTGTCAGTCCACCCTTCCCCCACAGAGCCTCTGATTTGGAGGAAAAGTTAGCTTACAATGTGATGTCACCTTGTAGCACACCATTCACCATGCTCCCTTAATGCTCTGCAGGCACTGGCCTGGTAGCTCACATCTTACCTTAGGGCAGAACCAGGTCAGCCAGGACAATCTGTCTGACTAAAGGCAGGCCATTTACATGCCATTACCTTGAGGAGGCAGGTGGAGTGACTTGGTCCCTGATAAATGAACATTAAAATATTAAGTAACCTCCTTCACTCGTGTTTCTTAACTGATGGAAATGTTTTGTTGTAGGCTCAAACTGCAAGCCAGAAGGAACTTTTGAAATCAGAAGAAACAACCAGGAAGTCAATTCAGCGACTGCATGACTTTGTGACTTTAATCAAGTCAGCTCCGTCACCTCCACCCCCATCTTGAGACTTACTGTAATGTTGCACTGCCACTCTTTTATACTTTTATAAAATATTGTAAGTGCTTGGGTGTCTCTCACCAGAATGCATCATCAGTTTGTATGGGATCAGCACATCTATGCAGAATTGGTTATGTGATTTGTAAAAAAATTTCTCTTTGCTGCTTTTAGTGGAATAATGAGTTTTGAACTTCCTTTATCTTGGGCTGAATTCACTGGAACTTCCTGAAGTCCGCATAATTTTTTCTACAAATAGTTTGCAGTGGACTTGAGTATGCCTCATATTTAGGACTGGCAGAGACTGGATTTCGCAACCAGATGGTGCATGAATCTTGACAGCTGCTGTGGATGGAATAACTGACATAATTGTAGAGATGTTTATTGGATGTTTCTTGTTCATGGGTATGAGAATGGAAGTCCTGGCAGCAATTTTAGATGTGTACTTTATTTTAAATGCATCCATGTGATAAGAGAAGTGTGTCAGATTTGTAAATGAAGCATCATGAAAATAACATATTTTTGTTAGTATCTTATACTTTTAGAATGTAACCACAGCAATTTTTCATTTTCATGCTGGGCAGTCGGTATAGCGACTGGCTATGGGCTGGACAAGGGAGGGGTTGGAGTTCAGGTCCCGGTAGGGTCAAGAATTTTCTCTTCTCGTCATCCAGACTGGGTCTGCGGCCCACTGAGCCTCCTGTCCAATGGGTAATGGGGACTCTTTCCCCAGGAGTAAAGTGGCTGGGGTGTGAAGTTGACCACTCGCCTCCAACTAGTGCTGAGGTCAAGAAAACGTGTCTACTCGTATACATCCACTCCCTCATATGTCTGCATGGCTTAGTGCTTAATTAGTTAAGCACAGGGACAACTTTACCTTTTTTATTTATTGCTAGTGGGGTGGGACTAAGTCCCTTCTACTGCAGCCACTTCTGGCCTATTGTACCAGCCCCAGATAATAGGTGAGGGTGATTGTGGAGCAGTTGGTGGAATGAAGATTGGCAGGGGAAACCAAAGTACTCGGAGAAAACCTGCCCCCAGTGCCACTTTGTCCACCACAAATCCCACTTGACCAGACCCAGGATCAAACTTGGGCCGCCACGCTGGGAAGCCAGCAACTAACCACTTGAACTATGGCGTAGCCCTTACCTTTACCTTACTTTTAAGATAATCACAAAAAGTAATTTGATACTAAATTTGCAAGTATGTTCATAATTCAGACAGTAGCTCTGCAGCAATTATTGTTATCAAATGTATGTATTAACCTTTCCTGTTCTGATTCCTTTAGGTGACTAAGAATACAGTAGTGTCAAAGGACCATATACAGTGTATCTTAATTACATACCTTAATACAAGGTGCTATCGGAAAGCACCTGGACTAGGTCAAAAAAGAAATGCTGGCTTAACGTACTCAATTTTGGCTGCCATCTCCTTCAAAATAGTCTCCTTCGGAACACACAGCAATCTCATCATTCTTTCCATGCTTCAAAAGCACCGTTGAAGTCATTTTCCTTAATGCTGTTGAGTACTGTTTGTACCCTTTGGATGTCAGACACCATTTCAGAGCATTGGCCTTTCAATTTCATTTTCAATTTGGGAAACAAAGCAAAATCATAGGGGGGCTAATTCCGGTGAGTAGGGAGGATGGGGAATGATAACCATGTTGTTGTTAGTCACAAACTCTGGTTTTCAGGGATGTGTGGGCGGGCACATTGTCATGATGGAGCCAGTTGTAGTGGTGCCAAAGTTCTGGTCTTTTTTGGTGCACATTTTCTCAAGCATCTCAAAATGTCACAGTAAGTCAGAGTTGACTGTAGTGTTAGGAGGAACAAATTCACGGTGAACAGTCTCCTTCACATTGGAAAAAAACAATGAGCGTGCTTTTTGTTGAACTCCAGACCTGCCATGCCTTTTTTGCTCTCGGTGATTGTGGGCCGTTCCACTGTGACAATTGTTGCTTATTTTCTGGATAAATCCAACTTTTGTCACCCATTATGACCTAGAGATAAAAGTTGGGTCTTCGTTAGCCTTCTCTCATAGCTCAAGACACACGTTTACATGCCACTGCTTTTTGATCATTTATTAAGAGTCATGGAACGGACTTCACATCAGTATGGTGCATGTTCATATTTTCTTTTAAAATCTCTTGGCAAACTCCATAACTGATCGCAGTGGTGTCTGCAAGCTCATGGATTGTTCAGTGATGTTCTTCACGGATGAGTTCTCATATTTTTTCAACATTTTCTGTTGTTTTGCTGGTGCTTGGTTGCCCTGAACATTTGTCATCTTAACTGACACTCAACCGGTCCTGAAACGCAAATGCCATTCAAAAACCGCTGTCCAGCTTAAAGAATGTTATCCAAAAGCCTCACAAAGCATTTCAAGTGTTTTAGTAGCAGATTTACCGAGCTTTGTGCAAACCTTGATGCAGACACATTGCTTGATTTTGCCATCCATTGCAAACAAAATGAAACACTAAGTCAAAAAAGCACTTGTGTAAAAACAATGCGTGTTCACAGCGTGGTGTCATGTGGCTGACTGATGCAATAGGTATGAGGAAGTGTGACCTTGGCTTCCCTTCTCATCTTTCACCGAGGCAATTACAACAATAACAGTCAGGGAACTTTCCAATAGCACCTCGTATAAGTAATATGTTCTCCATATATAGGCAAGCAAAAATGTTCATATGGATATGTGGTTTAAACCACTTTGTTAGTGAGATATGGCAACTAGAGGCAGCACTGCAAAACAGATGAAGCCAGCATTCAGCGTACAGACACCTGCAAGGCCACTAATATTTTTGTTCTGGTATTCAGGGGGGCATACAGTAGTGTAGTTGGTTTAGGCACTATGCTACAAGCCGGAAGGTTGCAGGTTCAAGTCCCGGTGAGGTCATTGGATTTTTTCATTTGACCTAATCCTTCCAGCCACACTATGGCCTTGGGGTTGACTCAACCTCCAACAGAAATGAATACCAGGAATTAATTAAATACTTTTCCTGGGGAGTAAAGCACGGCCAGCGCGTAAGGCTGACAACCTTACCGCCATCTTTGAGCCGATTGTCTAGATAAATGGGGACCCTCAACGTCTCAGAACCCTATGGGCCTTCACGGCCTGGTATTCAATACAGTAGACATGTTATGTATCAAACAGTGGTGCAGAATGTGGGGTATTCATTCACCGAACTGACAAATATTACTGTATGGAGAAGCATAGCCACGGCACATCCATAAGCTGTAAAATGACAAGTGATGGCATCCAAATCCCAGGACATAAATTTCTCTGGAACATCATCAGCGAGGGACAGGTCCTGTGTAGCCCAGTATGACACACTGGTAGACCCTGAAGTCACACAAGCGCCAATGGGGAAGGTGATGTTCTGCATGCCATAGAACAATCCCCTGGTACTACCAGGCGGTTAGCCCTTTGTTTTTCCCTAATAATTGTGATGACAGTGTTGCATGATAAGCTATTGTATGCATTTTACATACAATATGTTTCAGCCCTGCAGCTGCTACTGGATTTTGGGCGTTGAAAAGCATTCTCCGATTGTTGCCAAAAAAGTTACTCTTTCTTATGCATATTGTATAAATAAGTTTCCCACTTCCTCACATAGTGGTTCTGCATTATAAAATCATTCCTTCTTGTAACACTTCACATACCTCCACTGTCTCCGTTGTCGTAAAACAGCTGGAACCACAAAACCACCTCTTATTATTCCATTTGTAAGATTCACATTTTTGCTACAGTTTTCAGTTATTTTACTCTGTTGACTAGAGGGATAGAAAAGTGAATGTATGGGAATTCAAGAGACCGGAGAGGAAATTCATTGTTTCATATATCAGTCCTAATCCTTCCACTGCAACTGCAAGAAATATCGCCTTTTCTATGGTGGCAACAAAACGCTTGCATTGTAGCTAAGATACAGAGTGTATTCAGTTTTCTGTGAGCGCACAGTACATTTGAATATCGTAGTTTCATTTCATCATACAATGGCAATGAAATGTCATTTGGAAGATTATGAAATTGAAAGGCAGATGAAGTGCAAGAAATGTGATGCGGGACTGTGCATTCGCAGGTGCTTCGACGAGTACCATAAAAAGGTGAGATCCAGTTAGATGACGAGTGGGGGGGGGTTATCCTATATATGCATCAAGCAGATTAAAAAAAGGTATGTACACTGAATTTTACTACATTTAAAAATAATTCTTTAGAATTGTGCGTGCACTTCTACTAGCTGCGTTTAAATGCCCGAGTGCATGAATATGTGTACTTTGACTACCCGTGTGAAGGTGGGGCTGAATACCTCCACCGTGACCCTGCAAGTCGTAGGAGGCGACGAAAAGGGAAGTCTCGAATCTGAGACAGTCCCAACGGACTTGGACCCGAGAAAAACTGCGCTGGCAAGGGCCAGCAGCATGTACAGAAGACAGACCTGTCCTCTTGTTAGAGAGGGTGCCCCAGAAGAACAATACCGTAACTATCAAACAGTAATAAATATCTGGTTGTGAGCCCCAGGAGTGTGCTCGACACCAAGATTTACTGACTGACTGGCCGTCAGTCGCAACGTGATTTTGACTTTGACTTATGTGTACTTTGGCCTCAATGACTGTACCTTTCAGTGTACCAATATGTGCACTTCAGATATTAAACATTAATGAAAACTACTGCTCCTAAATCCATTAGCACACACAGTGTGATCCATTGACATGTGTTAGAAGCCGAAATTTTACCGTGAAACAAATTCTGCTCCTTGCCATTCGGGCAGTATACTTTATAAAATTCAGTGCTTTAAATTAAAGAATGTTCAGCAAGCCTTGCTTTGAAATGAATGCTGAATGAACACAATTGTTGCTTCATACCGAGGTCAGGTAGTTTTTCCTAGAGCAAAATCTTAAAATGCATACATGACTTGCATGAATAATTGTTTTTTTTTAGTAAAAAATTAAAAATGTGAATGAAACTTCGTTTTGAGTCAAAATGCGTAATTGGCAGATATGTACATATTTGATGTGTTGAATTAACTGAGTAATTCCCATCAATGACACAATACATCATAAATTTATATGAAAAAATTAAATATTTTAAAATGAAGGTAAATTTGTGGTTGCCAAAATTCAAAGGAAAGATTTACGTGTTTCCAATTCTGGTTGATCACCTAGGAGACAGGAACAGTGGCACAGGCTTCGATGAAAACTTACTACCATAAAGTGCCTTTGCTCAGTCTGAAAGAAGAACTCTCAAGATATTTCCCACATGTACAATGAACTTTTTCCTCTGGCTAAATCTCCCTGAACATTTAACATTGATGAAATACTAGAAATTGCCCAAGAAGAATTTATGGCAGTAAAAAAATGACAAGGGCATCAAAACAGAGTTTTCTTTGTTTTTGGATTTGTAGGCTCTGATTATCCAGTACTTGTTACTTCTGCTGTCTCCAGTACCCTAAGAGTGTAGAGATGTTTAATGTGTTCTTTCTTCAGTTAGTCCAAGGATCAAGAAGCTTGCAGCAGTAAAACAAGTGCAACCTTCTCATCAGGTGAGTTTTAATATTACATTGTTATGCTTTAAGTTTTTAATAAAAATATTATAGCAGAATCTGAATAATTCATGCATTTTAGTGTACTTTCTTGTATAAATGTATATATATATATATATAGTTTATTTTATTTTTGCTTTGAGGGACTGTTTTACAAAGTCCCACCAGGTGAATTCCAGTATAGTACGTGTGACCCCTCTTCCTTCCACATTTTCTCCAAATCATTATTCACTAAGTGCCATATTATTTTCTGCTAAATTGTCAGAGATATTGACAGTTGTCATTAAACAAAGAAGTTTATACAGGAAGCAGATACTGCAGTCATTAAGACTAATGAGTGGTCTGTTAACCTCTGACTCTAATGCACTATGAGGATGATTGCTGATATTGGCTACAAGAACATCTTCTGGGCAACAATCCCTACTCAGAATTTGATATTTCTCCACCTGTTCTCTTCACAGGTCATGATAGGGAAACCCCTATGATGCTCCTGGCAGCATTTTCATTATGGAGTGAGTGGAAATGTTCTGCACATGTCTGTGGTTTCATTGCTAGATGTCTGTTGCACGATGTCAAATGTGCTGCATGCAGGGAATGCCAGATATCTCAACTGATGTTACCAACAAGCATCTTCACGTAAGTCTAGCAATACAGTGATACAGAAGTCTCTCAGTTATCCTTCTGAGAAGAGACCGAGGTGACTCATCTAATTCAGTTGAGCACCATATTACTAGCTGCCATCAAGTACAGCGCTGATTTTGACTGGATTAATTCTACCGGTTCAGTTGAGCATCAGTGATTGTAGATGGTGCTGTATCTGGCATTACAAGAATTTATATTCCTTGGTGTAATCAGGAATGACATAATTGGACCGGAAGAAAAGTGGCTGCCTAGAGTTGTGTGATTTTATGGGCGACATATATTACAAACATGTTTCTTCTTCTTCTTCTTCTTCTTCTTTTTTTTTACACGTGTAACTTTTGATGAATTGCAGATATTTTCAAAGACACCACATAGTGTCACATCTCAGAAGACAGTAGTCTTCATATATACAAGTATACAGTCATTGCTGCGAGAACTCTTAAATGTCAGACTGTTGAACAACTTTTCCCAGCTAATGGAATGTGTGAAATGAGACTGATTGAGCCATGTCAAATGCTTACTTTTATATCGAAACGTATTATACAATGTAATCTTATTGGGCAGTCAGCTGTATCAATGGCAAGTTGGTGCCTGACATTTCAGAGACTGTCTCTGTTTAAGTCAAGATGGGTTCATGTAGTGAGCAGTGTATGCGCATGGAGTACTGATAACAGACTGCGTGAGGAACGGTGGGAGTCTTCTGATGGTGACTGATGTCCTGTCCCCACATGGTCCAGACTGAGATGGACGAGAGCAGTGTGTTTAAATACTGCATGTGAATTTAACACTCATCATCTCCCAGTGATGGAGACAAAGGCAGTCTCATCAAACTCCAACTCTACATTGACACAGCTGATTGCTCGAGAGGAACTCGTATATTGTCACCAGGAAAGCTTCAAATCATATGTGGAGTAAGTAGGATTTGAAGTTCTCACAGTAGTAATTACAAAGAATTCTAGCTACTGGGATATAAAGCCCTATTGTCCACTGAAAGTCAACTGACATCTCGTAGGAGCGTGTCGCCTCCATTTTCATGGGTGAAGAGCAAACTAAGTTAAAAACCAGAGCTCTGTTTGCCTGCTTCATGATTGTTTCCTGTTTGGCTTACAACAAGTTAGAACCTTTCATGTATTGAACAATTTCCTCTGTATTACAGTTTCAGAGTTATTAATTCATATGATAAGTGGGAGTGATAATCAGGAAGAAGATATTGTGGAAGTCAAATGCTAGTAAATCTTTTCACCAACTGGATTACCGGGTCCATTATCCTTTCACAATGTCTGTATACGATCAGGGGTATGTAGGAAGAATCAACAGTGTTCATTCTCTAAGTTTGCTATGTAACAAGTATTTGTGAAGTGACCATTTCTTGGTAAGTGAATACAGAACAGCTGAAATGATACACCTGAACCATCTGGCAGTTTCATGTGGCACAAATTCTGCTTTGCAATCAGTCCCTCAGCATTCTGTCCAGTCAAAGAAATGGGTAATGAGCAGACTTTTGGAAGTATGCATTAAGGAGCACAAACACAAACTGACGCTAGGTCTGCTTGAAAGAAGAACATAGATGATAATGGAGAGTACATGATGAATGATGTTCCAGTGATTGAGACTAGCTCTTTCTAACAGACCCAGCTGAGTAGGTCTATCCTGCCCCATCCACCCGAGGACGGAGACAGATCCAGTCTCTGAAACGTTGCGGTTTTTTGTCTTATATATACCAGACGATGGACAGAGTCCAAAATAAGCCTAATAGTTCTGTACAGCATACACCATCATCAGAATCCTTTCAATTTTATTTGCAGAATTAAGTTTACAAGATGTCAATCAGTTTCAGTAACTACTCTGCTAATCATTAGCTTCCACAGTTGAACTAAACTTCACAACTGTAGGCAAATGTCATGTCTGTTTACTCTTTATACAGGATCTGATACACATTCAAAAATCAATATTAAACAGATATTGATATGCACTGACTTTCTGTGCCATGGAACTCAGTTCACTTCCCATGTCAGTCAGAAAGCTTAGCAACTGTAACCAACTCCAGTATTTTGTGGCACCCTACAGAGAATAAAACTGTGTGACTTATGAAAAGCAACTCTGTGGCTTGCTACAAGTCACATACTGCCCCTTTAGTTTAAACCCATCTCTACAGCTCTTAAGATGTACTATATGCATCCCTATGTGAGTTCATGTGTCTTCAGATGACTGTGATGACTGACTATGCATGCGTTGATGTCTCCTGAGACTATTCTGGTGACCGAATGACATATTACACACCTCACAGGAAAATGGCTGCTCCCCAGTATGTGTGCGTTGATGTCTCTTCAGATTACTCGAAGCAGTGAATGTCGTATTGCACACCTCACAGGAAAATGGCTGCTCCCCACTATGTATGCGTTGATGTCTCTTCAGATTACTCTGAATACTGAATGACATATTGCACACATCACAACTAAATGGCTGCTCCCCACTATGTACACGGTGATGTCGCTTGAGACTATTCTGATGACTGAATGACATATTGCACACATAACAGCAAAATGGCTGCTCTCCACTATGTGTGCGTTGATGTCTCTTCAGATTACACTGAACACGGAATGACTTGCTGCACACATCACAACTAAATGGCTGCTCCCCACTATGTACACGTTGATGTCTCTTGAGACTATTCTGATGACTGAATAACATATTACACACATGACAGCAAAATGGCTGCTCCCTACTATGTACGCGTTGATGTCTCTTCAGATAACTCTGAACACTGAATGACTTATTGCAAACATCACAGCTAAATGGCCGTTCCACGCTGTGTACGTGTTTATGTTCCTTTAGAGTTCTGTGCTGATTGAATAACTTACCACACACATCACAACAAAATCGCTGCTCTCCACTATGCACGCTTGGATGCCTCTTCGGATTACCCCTGTCATTGAATGATTTATCACACTCATCATGAGAATATTGCTGCTCATCACCAAGTACAGGTTCAAGTTCATTCAAAGTGCTCTGGAAAATCAAAGGAAATAACATGAAAAATCCTAGTAGAAAGAGAAATGAGTTTTAAACTCCAGTGCTATGAGAAGTTAAGTGGGTAGGCATGAGAGGGGAGACAGAAAGTGCACATGCCCTTATGTGTGTGCGCGCGTATCTGTGAGCCCATCAGCATGTATGGGTCTTCATGAGGCAATAGAAGTTAAGTTGCAGTATCATTATTTAACAAATTACAAAATTAAATAAAATTTTGCATTTGTAAGGATGAATAGGTGTCTGATTAACAGTGGATAGGATCAAAAAAGGAAATAACAATAACTGCCGAGTTAAGAAATGACAGATTGCATGGGCAGGAGATTTGGACAAAATGGTACATACACTCCTGATGGGAACCATTTTCTCTTGGGAAATTCGCAGTCCACTGAAGTAATCCTCGGAAATGTGGGGCATTCTGGCATATATAGTTTTTCGCTGATTTTGCCCTGTATATGCAGGGAAATGGATAACAAAGGCTCAGACTACAAAGAACGTGTTTACAGTATGTGTCATATGATTGTCATGTTGCAGAAGGTGGTGTACTCAATCAGGTTGGAAAGGTCAGATGTTCAGTTGTTAAGATTCCACTGAGAGAGGGCATTCTTTCCTTCTCATGCAAATTGTTTCACTCACTCAGCAACCTCTTGAGCTGCACGAAGTCTAGCACTAGTGGCATTACTTGATGACTTTATTCTGTCGGCAAATGTAGATCTTGTTTGTTGTATTTTGCATTGCTCATCCTCTACTGTCTTATCCTTGTTTCTCCAACCCAACAGATTCATACAAGCATGCTACTTTTAATTACAAAATGTCATTTTACAAATTCTTATGGGACACTTTAGTTGTCATACTTATGTTGATGTTTAAGTAACAAACGCCATCAGGTGTAAATAACATGTAGTTGTTACAATCTTATTTATTAGATAAAATTCGTCTTACATGTTTCAGTTCTATTGGGTGACCATGAGTGGCTTATATGTTAGAGAGCTGATTGGTTAGTATACCTTCATTCTTAGTATTAACATGTATTTAGACAACATTTAAAACCCTAAGTAGCTGAGAGTGTAGTGAGTGCTTTGCCTAAGTATAATTGCTGATGGTGTGTGTAATTTTATAGATTTTTGGCTTCTGTAAGTGTTCCTCTTTTCTAAGCAGACTTTGTGCAGAACGTGACTGATGCCTCATTGCCTTGCAGTCTGCAAACATAACATGGTGTAATCAGTTATTTTTCTTTAGCCTGTGAAGGGGGGGGGTCACCAAATTTATTATGAGTTTTTCATTCCTGTCCATCATTTGCTATTGTGTGCCATGTGCAGTGCTGCCGCTGTGGTCACTGTATGGGGTGGTACTGGCAGGAAGATCTGTGATGTGTGTTACACTGTCCAAATACTATATTGAATAGAACATTTTTTGTCTTCAGTTTGTTCACCTATGAGTAAATTTATCTTTTTGTTTTTGTATATGTACACGAAATTTAGGGGCACGTAGTAGCGTAGTTGGCTGAGGCACTATGGTACAAGCCGGAAGGTCCCGGGTAGGATTCCTGATGAGGTCACTGGATTTTTCAATTGACCTAATCCTTCCAGCCGCACTATGTCCCTGGGGTCGACTCAGCCTCTAACAGAAATGAGTACAGGAATCTTGGGCACTGAAGGGTGGCTGGCACATAAGGCTAACAACCTCACTGCCATCTGTGAGCTGACTGTCTATAAAATGAGGGAGCCTTAATGTCTTACAACCATATGGACCTCCACAGCCTGTTACAGGGATAGCTTTACTTTTTTTTCTACATGCAGAAATTTTCTTTGACACTGATTAATAGACCCTTTTTTGTGTGTGCTTGATTACATCCATTTTCCATGAGAGAATGCCATTTCCTCAGTGTTGTTTTCTATACATCTTACATGGTCTGTGTATCTAAAGTTTTGTGATTGCGTTGTTTTGTGTGTTGAGTAAATAACACAGCAAGCCACGAACAAACATGGACGTTACCAAGAATCTCCTTCTCAAGATAGACAGGCGGCACAAGTTCAGCCCCCTCCAAGAAAGACGATAGGAGAAGTGACACGAACCTGCATGGTTTATAAATTTTAACTTAACAAAAGTTTTTAAAAAACTTCAGAAGTTTTAATACCAGGAAGGCTGCTGTGATTGTGAAAAGTTGAATATTGTGTACATTGTGTATCTCAGGCATTATGTGTGTATGTAATTTAGCACTCAGAACACCTATTGTAATAGTGGTTTCCGAATAAGTATTGATGTTCCCTCTGAAGATGATCTGTAAGGATCTAAACATGTAAGGGTGCTGAGTTTTCAAGTGGTAAAATTTAAATAGTCACACTGGACAGAGTTGTTTTTGTTTTTGTAATTGTTAGTGTGACTGACCAGAATGAAGCAAATCAAATTCAGTTTACACAGTATTTAATTTCAACTATATTAGAGCTATTTAAAAGAAAATGGGAGTGGTACATCACAAGCAATACTCAATGACCTACAACTGTCTTAAGAGACAGCTATTGCCATCTAAAACCTAGTTGCAGTGAATTGAGCACTAGCCAATCACAGGCTATGACCTAGCCATTGCTTAGCATTGGCTGGTTCCTTACCTGTGATTGGCTAGCTCTCGATTCACTGTGGATGGTTCCCACAAGCTCATCAAATCCAGTCAGCAGCAGGAGTTTCATGTGCAGAGATATAAAGCTGTAAACCAGAAAGACAACCAGCATTTCTGCATATTTGTGAGATATACCTAACAGTGGACATGCAGAGACATACATCTCACCTCAGGTTCAGCCTTTATTTCCACAAATGTTATTGGGACAAGTTCCTCTTCTTTTTCTGTGTCTGAAACTTCCTCAGCTTTTATATTCATGGCCTGATCTGCATCATCAGATATTGGGTATGTCTCACCACATGAATTCAGTACATATTTCTCTGAAGTTGTATAATTCTGTAAAACCATCAATCAAGGCTGTAAACCCCATTACATGCAACAAGCATGGGCTCTATTCTGTGTGGCTGTTTTTCATTACATCTAACCTATAACAACTGTTTTGTACAGATTTCTTCTCTACAGCTTTCAGAATCAGTATAAAGTATAATGTTCATGGCATAGTGACCGTCCTGAGAAAGTAATGGTCACTACCTAAAAGTTAATTAGTGTTCACACATGGCCATCATGGCTCTGTATCCTGAACCAAACAAGCCCAGTGCAAACCCTCCAAAATTATTTCTTTAAAATCTACCTCAATATTATCCATTCATTTGCACACAGGTTTCCAAAGTTGTCTATTTTTTTCATGTTTTCTGCTCAAATATTTGTATGAATTTCTCATTCTCGCATGTTCTATGTGATGTACCTATATCACTCCTTTAATTGATCACTCTCCTACACAGTACACCAGACTGTAGTAATGTGTACAACCATGTATAAGAAAAAACTCATTAGATGGATTATGAAAACTAACAAGCTTAAATGTTTAGTTTCATTGACCATGATAGTTTACAAATGATGATAAATCTCTTCTGTGCACACAAACACAAAGCACTCACCATGCTTTCTCACAGCAGGAAATATTTCTTCAACTCACTGCAGTACAATTCTTGGAATGCTTGTTGCAAGAGAACATATTTTTCTTTCTAACCTTGCAACTTGCCTGTCACATGACATTTTGTGGGCTGTAAAGGAATTCCCTTAGAAGATTCCTAGTGATATAAAATCTTATTTCCAATAAATGTATCAGTATATAACTGGGAATAGTTGCCAAAATCTGTAAGGAAACATAACAATTATGACTGTTCTCACAGCAGAGTCTAAGCTCATTGTCTTATGAGGTGTTGTGTAGTCTGAGATCGTAACTTGAGTTTTGAAAGCAGTTGGGTTCACCCATTTTGCATGAACCTAATGCTACCAAAACATTGGTAACCAAGTAATAGATTACATCTTGTTACAACACAGACACAGTAAACCTAATCTACAGATTTATATTGCACGACTATATTTGTATGCATTACAACTTCAATCAGACCACCCTAAACCATCACATCTCACGACTTACTCGATAAGTTGCAGTTATATGTGTAAAGGGGGAGAAAGGGCATAAATTGTGAACATATCTAGATGCTAAAGGATTCTGTTGATGGTGGATCCCACTCGGAATTAATGGGAATTTTGGACTTTATCCATCGTCCGGTATTTTAAAGCACGCAACGTTATGGAATCTTGATGTTTCCGTCCTCAGGTGAGAGGAGACTAGGAAAAGCTAACCTCAGTCACTGGGCGTCCAGTGATTGAGGTTAGCTTTTTCTGACTCCCAAAGGAATCTCTCCCACACACCAGAGGACAGAAGCATGTCCAGTTTCTGAAACGCTGTTCTCTAGTTTTCTGAATACCGGAAGATGGCCAAAGTTCAAAAACCAATCTAAGAGAAACATTACACTCGGCAAGAGGGCAGACTTTTTATGTTGCAATTGAAACTGTCAACAGCGAAATAGAACCAACTCTAAAATGTGCTTGCTTCTGATAGGCTGAATAAAAATTTGTATCAATAGAACGTCTTTCGTGTGCACGTAATAATTTCCTACAGAACACCCAGATTACATACATAAACATAAGTTACATGCCTCAAAAACCAAACAGCAAAATCACCTGCACACCACTCTCCGGCTTCTGTTGGTTCTGTGATTAGTACAGCGTTTGCCCACTGCGAAGCAGCACCACCAAGAAAATCATAACCACAAGAACCACAAGAATATTTACGGAAAAAGTATGTTGTATATGTTATGGATCATGTAATTTCGTAAAGTCTGATAAACAGTAATCCGTTTATCCTGCCCAGTGTGGTTAGAATATCACGTGACGTAAGAGACTACGAAGGGAAATTTTCATATCTTCAAGGTTACGTGTACAATACATTGATTTTGTGCTGGGATCTCTTGACAGGTTTCATCACGATTCGCTTCTGCATGCCTGGGCAAAACGACATGCAAAAGCCGTTTTTTTTTGGGGGGGGGGAATCCTCCAACATTTTTTGTGGGTAATTTTACGTTGCGGTCAGCATCTTGATTGCATAGCGTAGATTGGTAGGATGATTTATGGATTGGAAAGGATCAGGAAGGAAGCAATTGTGGCCTGAGAGACGTACTATCTAGGCATTAGCTTTAAGGGGTTGAAGAAAACCACGAATAACCTTTGTCGTGATAGTTGATGGACGACGCAGGGTGCCCATACTGGCAGCACTGCAGATACCTAGAATTTCTTGTTATGGACTGCAAGGCTGAAGTAGA